CGGGTGCGCCAGTCGTGCCATCAGGGGGCCCCTCTTGCCTATCCATATTGGGCGCGGAGGGGGGGGGAGTTCCCCACAGATGCGAATGAAGGTTGCGTGAGGAGGGCCTCTAGCCAGTGTGAGCGACGGCCATTTTGTATTGTGTGGACGTTGAAACTCTAGCACACCGTGCGTGCGTAGCCAACAGTGCTAATCGGAGGTGTAGGAGGTTGGAAGGGACAATAAACGAAAGAACAAAAATGTGGTTCGAAAGAAATTCGTTTTCATATCTAGATGTAAAAATGTCATAGCTTCAGCGGCTTCCTGATAAATACATAGATGTTTTTAAAGTTGCATGTGTAAAGGACATTGAAGGTAGCAGCGATGTCCTTGGGAGAGATCCTGAAGGAATGTGTCTCATGGACCCATGCCGGATTAAGCTAGTGCGGGGCCTGTAGCATATGTTTATAACGGGACCCTAAAAGTATTTATTAAAACACATTTTAAACTTGCATAGCAAAGTAATTGTATTTTTTCATTCGCTATACAGCCAGATAATACGACAAATCGCTAACCTTAAACACCCAGTCGTTCATAGAAGTTGAAGGCGGTACAGTACTATAGTAATAGAGCAAGTGCAGAATCAATGAACCGGAATTGATAGCTTGAAAGCATTTAGCGCGGGGCCTTTGAAAGTGCGGGGCCCGTAGCATTAGTAGCTACTTTTGCGACTATGATCATTAATCCGGCACTGCCCCCCCCCCCTCCCGAGTCAAGTCTCCCACGTCTGCATATCACAACGTGGGCGGACCCTGCTACTCGCTGTTCCAGCATTGTTGTGTCCTGCGGCGTCTGTTGAAAAATAATTGGTGTGGAAATACTTTAAAGCGAGCATTCACTTCGTGAGCAACGCGCATCTCGACAGCGCGATCGACACGTACCAGGCGAGGTTTTTTTTTTTTTGCCAACGAGAACTTTTTTTTCATTTTGGCGACGTTAAAACAAACGTATTTCAGGAAAATTCGTCACAGTTTCAATTGGATATAAATCACGCCGATTGTTTTTTTTATATATTTTTTTTGCACTCGGTAGTAAGTCGACAGCAATTATACGCGGATGTGACCTTGGTGGCCATAGCACTTCACTTCATCTTCAGCGTGGGGCATGTTGTTGTGTGCTTGGATTTAATTTAAAAATGGCAGAAATACACATGCTCATGTAAACGACTTGCAATTATCCACAACAGTGAACGGTAACAGCGGGAGTTTGTAAAGTGTTGCAGTCGTATTCTACTTAATGGGGCCTTTCTGTAAAAAAAAACATGTTATTGTTTAAGAGTGGGACATTTATTCCTGGTCAATTGAATGTCAACTTCAAATTTTACGAACATAAACGCTGTAAGCACACGACACGTGCTACTGGTGAATATGCGATTCTTACCATTTGTGACACTTCACTCTTTGTGCGGGGCAGGAACATTGTTGTCCCTGCTCGGTGCACACAAGCTAAAATACAACTTACACATTCAGATGTTCTGCATTTTCATTATGTAAGTTGCTGCTCATCGCCCAGATGTCTCCCCCGCGTAGGCTGATATGTTGTTTTGGCTTAGATCATGTAAATATAAATGTGTTATTAAACCCACCCACCATCATCCATCACAGTCTATCAGTAAGGTTTGTCACGTAAAGAAAACATGCCAATGTGAACAAAACATGCTAATGCTAATGTTGTGTTTACGTGACAAACCTTACTAATTGGCTGCGTCGGGTGGCAGCGAGTTTAACAACACATTTATATTTACGCGATCTAACCCAAAAACCTCTATTCTGGATAATATTGGTGGCGAAAGCTCTCCCACTCCACCTTAAACAGACTGAGGTGTGTTTTCTTGCCATCTCTGTGCCTTTATGAAGCTCATGATGAAAAAACGTAGCGATCCATCTCCCGTTCGGAGATTGCCGTTGTCAAATTGGAAAGAAAAAAAACTTAAGACGTCCATATAATCGCATTTTAACTCTCACAAGAACGAGAATAGAAATGGGTGACGAAACGTCTGCCATTGCAGCAGCAACGTTTTGGAACAACCGAGGTTCCTCGCCTTCACGTCATCAATCCTTCGTATCAGAACATATTCTGAAGCAGAGGATTATTGCTGGATACAACTGCATTTGCAAATGTGGTTTGTAACTTTCATCCTTACCCATGTACAGTACCGATAGTTCAATTTTGATGTGCAATTTTATTGAGGGGGTATGTGTTGCCTTGGTGTGGTCTGGGACTGTTTTTGTTGTTGTTTTGCTGCCTTGCCCAAGCTTTAGAATTGTACGTACGTATGTTGACCTTCTTTCGCACCGTACGTAGCCAACCATGCTTATTGGTGGTACGGTGTACTTATACAATGTGAGCTTATATACTTTATCTATTTTATGTATTTCTTTTTAGTGATTTGCTTACCTTTACTATACTTTTCACTCCTATCCTTATGTGTATCCTTTGTTGTTGTAACTTTCTGATCCACCGATACTGGACATCTCTGAAAAATTACTTAATAGCTCATTGGATTTATCCAGCATAAATAAAGATGGTTTTCTGTGACTGGCCTACTACAGGAGATGTCAATGAAAATACACCTCCCACACTGGCACAGTGGACTGCAATTCAAATTGGAATAGCCGGAAAGTGCGTTTGAGTGAAGATCATCCAAATATGTTTTCCATTTATTCCTGACAATTCTTTAAAAAAATAATTCGGCTCGATTTGTAAGCAACGTTATTCACCAGTTTCCATGTATATAGGTTGACCTTCTTTCACACTGCACATAGCCAGCTGTGCTAATTGGAGGGAGGAATGGGTCTCTGTCATAATTTCACACAAAGCTTACCGCCGATGATGAGGGTGATAGTGATTATCTACTTACCAGCAGAACATTTCTGATCATCATCATCTTTCCCATCATTACCATTCATGTGTTTATCACAATTATCACCATCATAATCACCACCAAAATCGTAACTGCGTGCTACTGGTGCCAATTCTGGCATGGTTAGACCCCCCCACCCCGACTCTCCAGCGTGCCCGTGCGGACCGCTCGTGTCAGTTGATGACGTGAAGAAGGCCGAGTGGGTCGCCGCCGCTCCACTCGGCAATCGCTTCAGGAGCCCCGCGCGGGCCCAAGGTGCAGGACGCAGGAGATTCTGGCACGAATGGTGAAAGTGCGATCGATTGAAAGTCTGCCCACGACTGGCGGTGGTGGGGGCACTCTTCCCTAACTGCGACCTATCCGCGACCACCGTCCACTCGTTCCGTCGCACGGGACGTGACTTGCATGAGAAGTGCAATTTTAGCAGTGCCAACAATGGCGCGTTGTGAGTTGAGTTTGGGTGGCAACGGGTGGCGTCGGTTGGCTAAAAGATGGATGAAATTATGGTCAGAAACACTTTGTTGATTGTGCCCAAAGTGTGTTTGAGCTATTTCTACAAACGTTGGAATGCAGCCCTTTGAATACATTTTGATTACATTTTATAAAGTTCACCCCTAATTTTGACACCAGTTTTTCAAGCAAAATAGATATTTCTGATTAGGCTAATGTCTCCGTTATCAATTGCGGGTGATGGCATAATTTCACGTGGATGTCTGTTTCACTTTGTTGAACACTCTCTTGCAGTTAGCCATTGTGTGGTGTAATTGTGCATTATATTTCGCATATTCTTAGCCAAAAATGCCTTCAAAGGTCCCTCCGCTAATGTATTATAAACACGACCACAGTTCACTACTAATTCCATATCAACTTTTCTTTCAACTACAATCATGATCATTATAAATACAACTTTCATGTCATGGCTCATGCGGGGAATGGGGTGGGGGAGGGGGCAGCAGCACGCACGGCCGCCCCCTGCCCGTCGCTGCCCTCCTACGTGGGGTTTGATGCGGCCGTGTTGGAGCTGCAGAGGGCAGGCAGCCATGCGGGGGGGGGGGGGGGGGACGGAGGTGAGATGTTATTGCCCTCGCCTGGTATGCGGGACGTGGTGGGTTCGATCCCAACCCTGCTGCCTGCTGTACATTTGGACGTTGCATGTCTCTCTCTCTCCGTGGTCGCGTGAATTTTTGTACGGTTCTTCCGGTTTGTCCCTCCACATGTAGAACCGACGTTACGCGTTTAGAGAATTTGGCTGCTATACATTTTCACGTGATGATAAGCCGCTTCGTCGAGCTATCATTTAAGATAGCCAGGTTCGCTTCTTTAAAAAGGAGCTACATAGCTGAGTCAAGCCTTACCTGGTAAAATTGCGCTGTTTGCTGATGTCCGCTTGATGTTTTTGGGGCTTTGCTCGGAGAATGCTAAAATAAATCTCTGACTGGAGTGTCCACAGCTGCTGGGAACTGGTGGACGATGGCTTCGGCACGTCAATCACGCGAATTGTTTGACCATCCTTGAGCCGTGCTGGCCGTTGTGGGTTGGTGATGGGAGCACATTTTGTGTCACCTCTCGCAGAGCATCGCCTGGGTCTCAGTCCCCCTATCCGTGTGTACGTATGTGTGCTGAACTTCTTTCACGGCGTACGTAGCCAAACGTGCTCATCGGATGTATACGTCTCCACACCACTTTGCCACGATATTGATGATGTTGTTTACAGGCGCATGCATGTTACCATATGAAGAGGATCACAGCGTTTGTGTCCCATGAACTATTCAACAGAAGTTTCTTGAATCGCACCCCTGCGTCCACTCGCGAGCATAGATGGGTATACCACATCCAATCAGCTCGTCGCGAGTGGTGGGGCAAAGTGTGGGCACTTCCCCCTCTTCAACGACATCGGCCCAGCATGGAAGAGCAGGTCAAACATCTTTTAGCGTGGCTCTCTCGAGCTCCTTGTAGTGGAGACCCCTCTGCCAGCAGTAGCGTGAGCTAGATGTTGTAGGGCTGCGCCTTGACCCTTTATAGTGTTGTTCCATGAGTAGGGGAGAGAGGCGGTGTTTGCTCTGCTTGCGTGCTCTAAGTGGGTCTCCCTTTCTTGCAGGTTGACAGGGTTTCAGATGCCAGCACCAATCAGCAGCTCCACCAACATGCTGTCTCTCCGGCTCACGAGTGACTTCGCCATCAGTGGACAAGGCTTTAAGCTGCATTACGAAGGTGAGTGTCTACGCGAGTATCGCTGGTAGGCGACTGTCATAGATTTCTGGCAAATAGGCAAGGTCTAAATCTGAAGAATGACAACAAACTGAAGACAAAAAGCATTTGGAAAGAAATTAGTTTGTCCATCTCGATGATTTAAAAATGCACAGCCCCAGTGGCTTCCTCATATTGGTAGGAAATCCGTTGCCGATGTCCGCAGAAGCGCGTGTCTGAAAGCGTGCGATGCTGTGGCCACCGCCTTTGTTCGATGGCGAGCCGAAAGCCGCTGCTGCTTGGAGGATGACCGGAGCGTGGGTGCGAGGACAGCGTCAGACCTGCGGGGTTAGTGGCTGGGTAGGAGGTGAAATGCAACCATAGTGGTGACAACGAATCCACGGTGGTTGTGATCGCTTCCAATCCGCATTTGCCGTGGTGTCATGCAATCCGGCGTAGAGCAGTCTGAATCTGCATAATGCAGAGCGATGTGAATCTGTGGAATCTATTTTGGTCTAATGGATCATCTAAATGCACCACAAAGGGTACCTATTTCCTGTGCCGCGTGAGCTCTCAGGCTTAAAATGCGAGGCCCTCGAAGAGTGTACGGGGTCACTTATTCTCTCTCCTTTTTTTGTTTAAACACCTTCCTATTTAATATGCGTGAATAATTCCGTTTCAAAAACCGAGGCACATTTACTTGAGTATTTATCCAAGACAACCACCCACACCGAGTCACGGGACTTTTTTTTATTTCGTGGAGGGTCCCGCTGTCATGGGTTTTTATTTGAAGGTGTCTTTAGGCGATTAGTGAGTTGTTTATTATACACGTGGCAGGAATTCGGAGCACCCGGAGAAAACCCACGCACGCAAGGGGGCAACGCTCAATCCCCGTACAGATTAAACTAGATGGCAATCATTCCACTTGCAGTACCGCCTTCTCCCGGACGAGCCCAGGATATGGCACCTCCTGGACACCCACCTGGAAGGGAGTTTCATAACATCATCTGTGCGGTGCCAATAACAGGACGTGTATTCACGCGGCAGACGACTCAGGTCGATGGCTCATGACGACAAATTTGGGGCTACACGACACGGCGCGGTGGGGCGGGGGGCGAGGTGAGCACCTTCAAAGAGGGGGCACGGTGAAGAGGGCACCCCTGGAACTTTGGGGGTTCTGCTGCTGCCACGGTGTTTGCACGTGCCAGACGACGGTGGCTACGACGCTGCACGTGGCTGCCCGTAATCCGGTGCTGTGGAGGCAGCAGCGAGGGTTGATGGATCACCGCACACAGATGGTGTTGTGAAACTCCCTTCTTCCCGTGGCCGTCGAGGAGGCGCCATGCTCTGGGCTCGCCATGAGAAGGTGGTACAGCATCCTGTTTCCATCTGTACGGGAGTAGAGTGTTTGCTGCTTCGCGCGATTGAGTTTTCTCCAGGAGCTCCGGTTTCCTCACACGTGTATAATAAACAACTCATTCATTGGCCAAAAACATCTTGAAACAAAAACCCAACAAAGCGGGACCCTCTAGAAAAAAAGTATTCCCACGACTCCGTGTGGGTGTCCTGGATAAATACGAAAGTAAACGTGCCTTTATTTCTTCACGGAATATTCATGCATATTAAACAGGAAGGCGTTTCAATTAAAAAAGATAGAAAAACGTTATTTATTTTCAGAGAATATTTGTGAAAATCAACTCGACAGACTCTTTTTCTACTTAATAATTATTTGACTTGGCATGGACATGGTGCTTAAATGCTTCAGCAATTCAAAGTACCTTACATGTCATCTTGTCTCAACCATTTTAAGGGGAACCACAGTGGCAGCTGTCGCTGTGCGGCATTAGTCTGCCAACAGGGGTCATTGATCGCTGCGCGTAATCCCAACGGAGTAATGCGTCAATACATTTTCAATATTGGACCATGGCATAATGATCCTGCTCCTAATGGCAGCTGCACAGATGCCTTGTGCTTGCTCCTTTATCCATGCCAGTGTCACTAATTTTTCACAGCATCATCAAGGCCAAAGCTCCTTCCGTGTAGAGTTTCTCTCAGTGGTCCGAACTGATGGAAGTTTAAAAAGGGCTGTGGTCTGTTGGACGTTCCAGGGCATAATGTCCGTGTTTTCCAAACGGAATGTGGTAATGCATTATCATGCTGAAGCAGCGCTGCCTTTCTCAACAGTCCAATGCACTTCAGATGGATGTCACGCTTCAGTTCGTTCGAGTCACAACACAAAACACCGGTGACAGTCTGTACATTTTCATGGAAAGCAACTGTTAGTAGATCTTGCATGTCCCTGAAACTGTCATCATTTCATTTTCCCACAGAAGTCTGGGATGGTTTCCATTCGAACAATGAATCCAAGTGTATTTACCCTGACGTGTAAATCTGGCTGGCAAGACATGACAGACGTGAAGCATGTCGCCTTTACTTTTTGTTTGTTAATCTTTTAGGCGCTCGCTGGGCCACAAACATTTTGAAAATTCTACTCGTCGCGGATTGTTGAATGCAATGTCGCCCTGCACATCCCGGTGAACACCGCTGATACGCGTGCCTGATCCACGTTTACATCTCACCCAGAATTGACCTCTCAACGTGGGTGACGCTGGCCAGAGGCGATACCATCAACCGAGCCACGGTTTTGCTGTCGTCATCGCAAGCGTGCCCGCGACCCTGTTCGCTGCCATTGCACACGTTCGTAAAATGTTACCGCCGTTCGTAGAGTTGTCGGCTTTATTGCAGCTGCAAATGTGGATGTCGCTTTACGCTGTTGGCAGAGGACCAAACGTGGGAGAAGATATTGTGCTCTACTCCCACGTTTGGTGTTCAGTTGTCCAAAGGCACCGCCGTTTTTGAATTTCAGGAATACCTCGCACTTTCGTCTGGTTAGGGACCAGAGCATGGACGAATGTCAAAAATGGACCAATGTCAAAGCCGAGCCTTTATTTAGCTTGCACATTTATTTTGGCCGGCGCAAAACGTACGTGGAAATAACTACATTAAATATATTAACGTACATGCAAATAACTACAGTAACTACATAACACGTGCGTTCAAACCCTAAATAAACAGAATTAAATGAAGAATAAACATAAGAATAAATGACCAAAACTAAATAAAAAAACAAAATGATACCTTGAAAAAATGGTATTCTTGCGTAAGTAAACACTGTAGTATACTGTTATTACAAATATAACTATTAATTGTTTAGAGCACAATGACAGAAATATATACAGTATTAATCATCTATGAATAAACACAAATATAAGAGATGCTCACTGAACGACTTCTATTCAAAGACTCAACGAAAAAGATGGCGCGTGGCGCGAACGTCGTGGAAGGTTTGGGGATGAAATCGGACAAAGGAGGAAAGTGCGTGGACGACATTTAAAATGTGGTTGTAGTTGAAAACGGCCGAAAGAGCAAAGCGACGAAAGTCAAGTGGACGAAAGTCAAGGTGTCGCTGTACGTGATACATTTATCATCCAATAGCACAATCGGAGAGAAATAGAATACTACACACAACTACCCAGGTGTCATACTTCATTCACGATGCAATATTTTCCGAAATTGCATCGACATAGTTCACAGAATGATTAAGAGACTTCTCGCTTGTTGAAATCCACTCGATAAAGAGTTCATCTTATAATTACAAGGAATGTATCGTGCTATAAGACGTACCAAACACACGTGGCTTTAAACAGCACATTCTTAGGTTTTTTTCCGTAAAGTCACGTAGGTAAAATTTTAAACTAAAAAATAATAAAAGCAAAATAAAAAATAAAATAAAAATCACGGAGACAACACAAGCCTCCATCTTCAAGTGGAACCGTCACAGCACGATAGCTAAAGACGGAGGCTTGTGTTGCCTCCGAAACGTCGTGATTTTTATTTTATTTATTCAACTTTTATTAATTTAAATTTTATGTTTTTTACCTACGTGATTTTACCGAAAAAACCTAAGAATATGAATCCTTGCAGTCACAAAAGCTTCAAATCTAGAATTTAAACAGCACTTCAAGAAATACATTTATATGAAATGCAATTACATTCACGTTGTCCAGCTGTGTGGGATTTGTAAATGGAATAATGCATGACAGCTGTCAACCGGCTTGTTATCCGAAAAGCAATGCTTAACTGAGGATCAATTATAGACGTAAACATCCCGCGACGGTTTGTCAACATGATGTTTTTGATCAATGGAAACGTAAATGATTATCATGTGCCGGGATTTCGTGATGAGAAAAAAATATGACAATGCTTTACGCGGAGAGAATTTTAATCTCCCATCATTTCCTGAGACCTCCCCTCCAAATGAGATGTCACACTCGTTCCCCACGCGTTTTGAATACATGAAATATTTAATTCACTTTCATGAAGTTCTCGGCTCCATGGACTTGAACTCCATGTATCCGTAATTCTGCAAGCTAAACTCCATTTATCTCGCAGAATAGCAAACTCGGATGCTTGTCGCAAAGTATGATGCAGGAAATGTTTCAATCAAGACAAAAACATTGCTTCAAATTGTCATCATCACAGTCCTGATTGCGATTGTTTTTGATAATTATTTTATGTTTACGACTCTCATGAAACTGAACTGCCGGTAAAGTTTTTTTTATCAATCAATCAACAGTTCTGCAGTTGTCAGGCAATATAATACATGTCTAGTGACACCCAACACTGCAGTCTTCAATAATAGGAGTCTTTATTTCTCCCAGCATGAGACACACAGCTCTTCCCTTTTCTCCAAGCATCTCCAACTCTGTCGCTTCCCCTTCATAAACACCTCAAGCCCCTTTCCCGAAGGTTCCTTGACCTTCCGCTTTCCCTCCAGCCAATCACCTTCCACTTTTCCTAACGGATTCCAACCATCCTCCCTGTCAATCATCCTCCGTTCCCCGTTCTTTCCATGTTGTATTTCTCCTCCCATCCCTTCAATGTCCCTGCCTATAACCAATCCCCTTTCAGGTCCTTTAAGTACCAATCAGAGGGCCTGTTTTTACTTGCTGATTGTCTGTGTC